ATATATTTGCATATGTACATGTCTTTATCTAGAGCTCTATAAATGCCCTTTGCCTCCCAGCTCTTTCCTCTATTTCCCTTGATTCTCCTCCTGTCCCGCTATCATGCTCAATCCCCACCTGGTACCCTTCTTGTATCCTAATCCTTGCCCTGTGGATTGGACATTGGACTGCTAACTACAAACCAGACAATTCAAACCCACCACATGCTTTAAGGGAGAAAATTGAGTCTGCCTGCTCCCTTAAAGACTTAATGGTCTTGGAAGCCTTATATAGAGTTGCTATGAGTCACACAACTCACTCAATGCCAGTAGGCTTGGAATATTTCACCACTTAATACATTAAACCACTTGGATTTCTGCCCTTTATAACCAAATGATTTATCTTCTTTTATCCTTAAAGCTTTAATAAATTTTATTCAAATAACTTGTTTACTACCATGAGAAATATATTGTGCATATTATAAAAATATATTGCACATACTTGGAAAAGATCCAAGTATTTTTATTTTTATTGTATTTTCCCTACACATTTATACAAATAAACCCAAGATGAAAAAGAATATACTTATTAAAGTACATTGACTTCTTTGAAAGATTTAGGTAATCTGTAATGCATAACTAAATTGTGTTCCAAAAACATAAAGGGGATTCCAGTACTGGAAACACATTTAAACCAGAATGGATCTGTATGTACAGAAACCCCATCGAGGCAAAGTCACATTTTTAAAATTAGAGGATAGAGCTTGGGAGAAAGGTCTATACCCTTATTGGAAGGAAAACAACCAATGGGGGAAAAAAACCTTTTAAACACTTTCTCTTGCCATTTGATTTGCTTAAGACTTTTTCATCATCGTCTTAAAAACAATCGTGTCATTGTATCACCTTTGAAAATTACTGAAAAAGTATTTCTTAGAAAATAAATTCTGAGAAAAAGCTGCTACCCAGGCCTTTGCTTGGCTAGTTTCTGTTTCCATTTATACATCAAGATAATATTGATACACTGCCCGGGTGGTATAGTGGTTACTCGGGCTACAGCAGTTCGAAACTACCAGCCACTCCTTGGGAGAAAGACAGGCGGGTTCTACTCCTGTTAAGTTATCTTGGAAGCTCATAGGAGTAGTTCTACCCTGGTCCACCGGGAGCTAAGAGTCAGCACCGACTTGGTGGCAGTGAGACTGGTTGTCGTTACTCATCTGAACAGTCTCTGGAGCAAAAGGAACTAAAATTCTCTTCACATCCACTGTTCCCACAAAATGCCCAGCCCCAATGATCAGGATTACCTGGCTTCTTTCCCATGATCACCAATAACTCTGTCATCGCGACCAAGATTCCTCGAAGAAATCCGACCTAGTTCCATTTCTATTTCCTTATTCAATCCTTCAAACCCGTGTTTCTGAAAGCAGACTCGATGGCGAGAATAACCTGCAAGTTGCTCATCTGCACCAATTCCAGTGAGAATGACCTATAAATATTTAAGGAAACAAATCCACATTAAAAACGCTATCTACTGTGTAGTTAAGAAAATAGGTAGAATAAAAGAAAATGTTAAAAAAGTTTACAGACCCCCAAATAACATATCTCGTGAAAACGTAGGATATACGCACACAGAGCAACTGAATATGTTCTTACAACCTAAATGCAAACAGCTTTAAGGACAAATCTAAGTCTCAAACATTCTTATGAGCAGAACGATTGTGTCCTACCTTTGCATCACTCTGATAGGACTTCACTTTATCCGCTGCCGCTACATAACCAATTCCTCTAGAAGCAAACCAGACAGCGCAGCCAATGCTATCATCCAGAACCGTATCCAGGGGCTGAATTAATTGACATATCCGGGCTCTTCTTAATTTTTGCAGTTCTTCCAAAGAAACATTGATTTCAACAAAATTCCAAATTCGGGAAGGGTTAATAGCTTGTAGTTCCTTCAGACCAGCTCTCCCTGTGACCCGGTCAGGCACATTGAATCGTGTATCCGGGTTATCATCAGCCATGGCAGCAGGATTTGGGGAGCATTCTTCAAAAGCGAATTCACAATGATTTTTCTTCTTACTCTTTTTTGGGTTAAAACGGGCTGGCCTGGCCTTTTCTGTAGTCATGAAAGCCACATTAAGAAGATCAATTGGTTCGTCTAAAGGAATATGACGGTCAGCAAGGGTTGCGATAACCATGGAATCGATGCCCCCAGAAAAGAGAATTGCGATGTTTGCTTTCCTACCGCGAGTTCCCAAAGCTTCATCTGGCGTCAAGCTTTCATCCCTCGGTAAACATAAGACCCGCCTCTTGACTGAGATGCTCAGGACATCAATGAACTGTTGAACCACTTCCCTCATGTGCGTGTTGAGACAGACTTGAAGGGTCTCTCTTGTAGGTGGGCCTCTGGAAATGTCGGTGCAATGAGTCTCAAAGGGACCTTGTGGCAATATCATATTTAAAGGAACAATAGGGTTTTCAAGATATAGTTTGGCTTCACTTGCTTCCACTGATACAAACTTAGGCAAATTTGCTGAAATTTGGGTCAGGCTACCAACACATTCTTGGATAACCTTCTCCCCAGAATTAGAATTCCAAGGATATAATTTTAAAATCACACACTTGGAAGTGGCAGTAGAGTGGAGATCAATTCTGAAAATTCCAGATACGGGAACTTCCTGCCACTGAGTGACCACTCCAGATGTCTGGGTGCCAACTGAAGAGAGGCAGAAACTTTCACTCAAGTTATTAAAATGCCAAAGCAAGCTACGGCGCCCAAAAAAGTCCCTACCAAACCATAAAGAATGACTAGATGCTTGATAATATATAAAAGACCAAGGACCCTGGACTTTTGAGATGAGTGACAAAATGTCGGATTCATTTGTACAAGAGGAAAGACAGTTAAACACAATTCGAGTGTCATTGTCCTGAGTTTCGACTTTGAGTCCATTAAAGACTTCTCCATTCCACAGGAACACATTGCCTCCTTCATCTTCCAAAGGCTGGGCAGTTACAGCGCCTCTCAAGTGAAGGGTGTGTCCAGAAAACAAGCACTGGTAGTTAGCATCACACTTTAACAACTGTTTACTGCTGCTGGGTCCACGCTGTTTAAGATTGTACAGTAAGTCCGCTCTCAAATCTCTGTTGGCATGTTCAACAGCAAAGCTGACCGAGCAACAAATGCCACACATTCTTATGGGAAATTAAGTGGATTATTTTTTTATCTTAGTCTTATCTGAGTTTTCCATTTCTTGGTATTCTTTTATCAGTTCATCCAATGTATCTGTGAGGGGAGGAGAAAAGAAAGAGATATTAAGTAAATACTGACTCTACCCTGTCATTGGGCACCAGAGATCAATGAACAAGATCCAATCATCTGAGTATGTATACTCTGCTGCTAGTACCAATAATAACTTACATTAGGCTAGTCCTAAAAAATGTATTTTAGAAAAATAGTTTCTATTTACTGAGTGCTTATTTTAGTTCAGCCACTGGGGCCAACCAGTTTAGATAAACTATATTATTTAATTACCAAAGGAAATTATTTAATTCAAGCATTTGGAAGTTCAAAGTAATCCTTTCAGATTCACTTTTAAAAAACAGTCATAACTAGGTTGCTGGAAACTCTAAAACTTACAACAGTAACCACTGGTTTTTAACACTTTTTAAAATACTTGTTCTTGTTGTGGGCTACCAAGCTGATTTTGACTCGCAGTGCGTAATCCCATGTGACAGAATAGAACTAACCATGGGGTGGTCTATGCTGGAATATTTATAGAAACAGATTGCCAGGTCTTTCTCTATAGACTGCTGGTGGTGTGCTGGATTATGCATCGGGCTGCTAACCACAAGGTCAGTAGTTCAAAACCAACATCAATTCTGAGGGAAAAAGACAGGGCTTTCTACTCATGTTCAGAGTACTGCCTTGGAAACACAAAGGGGCAGTTCTACCCTGTCTAATAGGGTCACTATCAGTCAACATCAACTCGATAGCAGTGAGTTTGGTGTGGGTTTATTAATTTGAAGAAAACCAAACCATTGTATTCATTTTATGAACAGGTCAATTAACGACTTTTTCCTTCCAATCGTAAGATAAATAAATATGTGAAAACAATCAGGTCTAGATAGTATGACTTAGGCACCACCATGGTTTTCCACAAAGTCTATGAAAGACAGTGGATTTCTACTAAGTCTGAGAAAACTTACTTTTGCTTTCAGAAAGCATTTCAGTTCGGTCTGCCAGAAAGAATATGTTGCTGTTTTTCTGCTGCTTATATACTTTCTGTAAAACATAATTTAGGGTACTATCAAGATTTGGTCCCAAGTAGCTGTCAAAACTTTGAATACTAATTATCATTCAATTATTCTTGAAATTTTGTAACATATGTTACAAGGAGCATTTTAGGAAATGTAAACAAAAAGTAAGTCATTTTCTACCTAATACCCAGAAACAACTGCTTCTTTAACAGAGGTGAAATTCTTTCTTCTGTACACATACAATAGTATTATTTTTCTTTGAACTGAAAAGGCTCATACTATTTATATAAGTTGCATTTATCAATGAGTGATATATGGTTAATACCTTTTCTTACAAAACACATGTCCTCTTATAGCATTACTTTGTGGATATAAAATACAACAGTTTTGTTTGCTCAGTTCTTGTTACCAACTTTTCACTATTATAAAATCAGAATTGTGATAATTATGCTTGTAGTTAAATTTTTGTACACACCCAGAATCTCTTTTAAGTATGAATTCCTAGAAATGGTACTACTTTGTCAAACAGTTATATTTTTAAGGCTTTGATACATTCTCCGAATGTACTTCCAAGAAATTTAAAAAATTGTGCCTCAACTTCTAAGATTATACAAAAAGATGATTAGAAATGTCTAATCAGTTGTAAAATAATATTTTAAATGCTTTAAAGAGCTCAGTATAATTTTTCCTAAATTTTAAACATAATTTTTGACAGTTTGCTTGGCCATAAATATGTTAATCAGGTTAAGCATTTGAAAGATTGAGATTATTATTATCAGGGTTGTCTACAGGGAGAAGGTTTTATCATTTTTTTCTGTTCAATAATTATACTCATTTACAGAGATATTTCCTCTCATTTTCATACATTTATTACAAAAGAAAATCACAAACTCAAGTATAAAAACACAGTGATTACAACTGTTAGCATACCATATGGCAGGGGGAAACCCATCTTCAACATTACACATTCGAGGGGGTACCCAAATAATACTGGAGTTAATTTTTTTCAAGGCTATGTTTTAAAACTTTTTTACAAAACAATCTTTTTTTTTTTTTTTTTTTAACATTTTATTAGGGGCTCATACAACTGTTATCCCAATCCATACACACATCAATTGTGTAAAGCACATTTGTACATCGTTTCTCAAAACATTTTCTCTCCATTTAAACCCCCGACATTAGGTCCTCATTTTCCCCCTCCCTCCCCGCTCCCCCCACAAAACAATCTTATCACCTTCAAAATACTCTCCATTACACTTAATACATTTGTCAAACCTGCAATTCCATTCTTGGAAACATTTTTCAAACTCATTGTTTGGATGGCTGACAACACCTCTCTTTTGTATTTCTTCACCTCTTCTATTTCTTTAAATCACTTTCCTTTCATGTCCCTCTGCATTCGAGAAACAAAAAGAAGTTGCCCAGAGCGCGGTCATGAGTAAGGCTCACGGACCAAGAGAGGCATGCTGTTTTTGCCAAAAACTGGCACACTGAGATGGCTGTGTAAGCAGGTACACTGTTGTGGTGACAAAAGCAGTCCCTTACTTGTCACAAAACAGGCCTTTTTTGTCATACATGGTTACAAAACCTCTAAACAGAAAGCTTGATCAACAGTCTGACCTCGTGAAACAAACTCCAAATGTACTGAATTGACATTTTTGTCCCTTCAGGAAGTTGATGGACATTCAGAACAAAATTTGTCATCAATCAACATTTCACCTTCTTTTGAAATGAAGAAAGCACTCAGACACTTGAGTTTTCCCACAGCACTGTCCTTGTAAGCTGTGCGCAACATCACAACAGTTTCTGCAGCATTTTTCCTGATCAGGAAACAAAATTTCACAGCCACAAGCTGTTCTATTAAGTTGACCATCAAAAAACGAGGTTTGAGTGAAACTGCTTTTATGAAAATATTCACTGTGACCAGAGAGGACCTTCCCAGGTGGCACTAACTTAAAGCGAGTTGCTGCCTAGAAGAAAAAAGGTGTACTATGACAGCTATGATCTACCCAGTGCGATTCCAGGTTTTGTTGGTGCCCCTTGTATATACACATAAAGAAAAATGGGAACTATATTAATATTACAATAGTTTCACTTTTGTGATGTGATAACTAAAAATGTTGAATTTTTGAGGTACTTAATATTACATATGTATAAACCACATATATAAAATTCAGAGTATTCACAAATACTCCAATAACTCACCCTGTCTTTCTTCAGGTTAGAAAGTTCATCCACAACAACTTTTTGTTCTTTAATCTATTTCAATAAAGGGGGAAAAAAATCTTTAAATCAGAGGTTCTCAGAATATGCTCAATGTGGGATGAATAAGGTATTATTATGCACTGATTTTCAAAATAGGCAGTCTGTGAAGATAGAGGTGGGGAAAAGCTGGAGGTGAAAGTTGTGATTAGATTTACCAAATGTTTTGTTGTCAGAATGCACACCAAGTGGCAGAGTTCCCACCAAAGGTTTCCATCTTCTATTAAAAACAGGCTATGCACTAAACGTATTATCAGTCTTTTGGTTCTTTTAAGTTGTATTTAAGTGTTGTTTTGTATTTTTAAAATACTGAATAGAAGAGGGGCTGGGGCACTACTCTTTTTCCTAGTGATTTTTATGACTGATGAACTAAATGGCACAGCTAGCATTTAAAACCGGAGAATAGTGCTACAACGCCTGACTTGAGGCGCAGGACCTATCACTTCCCATTGTAGCTTTATTCACTTTTGAATTTCAGAGCCTAGCATGGTTCTGCCATGACGGAACTGGCTAACTTTTCATGACTACAGGAACATTCAACCAAATGAAAACAAACACCTGACCCAGTCTCTTGGCGGCTCTAAAACTAGGGGTTGTGATGGCTCTTCCTACCTCCCACACAAGAGGATGCCATCCATGAATGTAATGGACTTTCTATGTGAGAGTCTTGGTCAGGGTCAGTGAAAAGGGGAAGACATTATGGGGTAGCCATTACCCTGGTAACCATAGTTGGGAGGTTCAAATCCACCAGATGCTCCAAAGGAGAAAGATGAGGCTGTCTGCTCCCCTAAAGATTTTGTCTAGGAAACACTAAAGTGGACCCCTGTCAGTTGGTAGACTTGATGGCAGTGGGACAGGTTTTCAAACAGACGCATCCACACAATGTGTTCAAACACAGGAGGGGCTGAGAATGGCAGTAACCCATGGTTACTGTGCTGTGAATAGAAGAAGCTATCTTGGCGTCTCCTCAGTTGATAGTCACCTTTCCAATAGCTGGCTTCAGGTGAATGCCAAGGCTGAACTCATATAGGCTCCAGGAGATGGAAGCAGCAGTAACTATCAGCTGTCTGAACGGTACTTTCCCATTCATTCCAGTTTACACAAGGAAACTGATGGAGAGAGTGAAGAGACTTGCCCAAGATGCCACTGTTCGTTTGGGGCAGAAATGACGTAGAACCAGAATCTGTAGATGTGTGGGATCATTGCTCTGACTGCTCGGTGGGGAAGATCAGGAAGGGGTAACGGTGAGCGGGTAGAGCCCCCTGGCAAGGATCCGAGAGGGTGCCAAGGAGAGATCGTGGTGACTGGCCTAGGTTAATAAAAGTAACAAGCTTGAAGTGCGCTTTGGAGGCAAAACAGACAAAATTTCCTGGTGGATGTCAAGGGTGGCTCCCAGGTTATAGGCACCTCCACCTCGAGGCTACCGGAGCCTAATCTTGGAGACCGCAGGGTCTCCCTTACCGCAGAGGGGGCCTTAAACCGCGATGACGAAACAGACCACGGCAACGAGGCCAAGCGCAGGTCAAGCGGAGTCAAACCCTGCCATCGGTGGACCAGGACCAGGGACCGAGGAAGGCCAACAGCGAAGGGCGCCGAGCAGCTGCCAGGACCATCTCCCAGGCTGAGGGCACCCCATTCCCATCCCCATCCCGAGACCGTGCGCCTGCCCGCCGCGTCCCACACTCGCCTTGTTGCTAAGATCCTCTTTTTGCGGGGTCCAGGCGTCAGAAGGGACCGGCCCAGAGCCGGGCGCCTCCATGGAACGTTGCATGGACACGGCGCACCGCCTACCACGCGACTGAGCTGCCCTAGCCGCCAGCCCCGCTCGTAGCGCCTCCAGTAGCTCCACCCCTGCCCTTCCGCTTCCCGCGGAGCGTCACGACGGCGCCTGCGCCTGCGCAGTCCCTCCCGGTCTCCTGGGAGCAGCTCTGCGCATGCGGTGGACCACTTCGGGCGCACGTGAACAGCGCCTGTCCGTGAAACCCGAGAAGTTCCTGGGACGCGACCAGACGACTGCGGTGGCCTCATGGCCTCTGACCCAGCCGACTGCGAGACATAAGCGTCACCCAGTGGTCACGGGGAGAATAGCAACATAGTAGACCCACCACTAACTACAAACCCACGCCACTGGGTTTGCGTTGATTTCCACTCAAAGGGACCCTATGGAAGAGCGCCACCAGGACTCCGCCCCACGGAACAAGTGTGCTTATTGCTATATGTGGGTAAGGGTAGCGATCCCGGGGGGCGGCGTGGCTACGCGTTGGGCTGCTTACTGCCAGGTCTGCAGTTTGAAACCACCAGCCAGTCCTGAGAGAAAGTTGGGGCTTTCGACTCCCCTAAAGAGTTCTGGTCTCCGACACTCACGTGGGCAGTTCTACCCTCTCCCATAGGGTCGCTATGCGTCCCCATCGACTTGATGATATGGAATGCGAGTCTTTTTGAGGTAGTGACAGGAAGCTGAAGCACAGATGTAAGAACTATAAAGTTCACAAAAGGAGCCCTGGTGGTGTCGTGGGTTGCTGACCTTGTAGTTCCACACCACCAGGAGGTGCCCAGCAGAGCGAAGAGGTTTTCTACGCCTGTCAAGATTTACTGTCTCAGAGACCTGCAAGGGCGGTTCTAGTCTGTTCTATAGGGTTGTCATCAACTTCCTGACAATGAGCAGGCTGTCAATGGAGCGGTACTAACTTGGTAAACTTTTAAACTCATCAATAGGGATGCCATTATAAAACATATGATACCTAGTTAAATTTTCATTTCAGTTAAACCAATAATGCTTGTGGGATTATAAAAAGATTTTCCCCCAGCTTTGTCTCCCCCAAAGACATGCCAAACATTAGAGGCTATTTGCCAGCATATGGTGGGAGGTCAGATGTTTAGGGACATCCTCCCTAAAGGCAGTCAGTTGCCAGACTACTGTCAGGTCCCTCCAAAGTAGGGCCCGCCCCCTGCTGCTAAGGACAATGGGCTGCTTCTCCTTAAAGGCCTGCGACTATCAGTCTGGTCCCTGTAGGTGGGGTTTACACCCTACTGATAATGGTTTCTATGGAGATCCAGCGAACAGGTTAAACCTGCTCCATGACATCCAAAGTTAGGCTGCCATCCTGAATCTAGGATCCACCCTTCTTGTCACATGTGTGCCCCTAATTCCTTCCCTTCCTTTTGTGTGTATATCCCTAGATTGTACCCCCTCTCATTGCTGTATAACCTATAGTGCAACCCTTTCCTGTGATGTAAGTCTCTACCTGTAATTAGGGGACTTGCATGCCCCCCAGAGATATATAAGCCATGGTTAGTAATAAAAAGCTCCCTGGGCTCTTTTCGTCCTCTCTCCTCAGGCCCACTCCCCTGTTCCCTTTCCCCTTGTCCTCCTTCCCCTCCCCCTCCTGCCCTCCGGTCTCTCTCTCCAAGTGGACCACCAAGTAAGGCTGAGGTTGAAATATATATATATTTCAACCATACAATTGTGCCTATTGAACCCGCGATTAGTTGTGGGGACTGGCCTTTCCCCCACAAATGCTTTATTTTATATATGCCCCCTGTAACGACCCCATTGCCCAGTTCCGTGCCAATTGTTCTTATGTTTGAGCCCATCGCCACTGTGTCAATCCATCTTGTAGAAGGTCTTCCTCTCTTTTGCTGCCCCTCTAATTTGCCATAAGGTCTAGCCATGATGTCCTCCAGGGACTGGTCTCTCTTGATAACATGTCTGAAGTACAAGAGAGAAGTTTTGTTGTCCTTGCTTCTAAGGATCATTCTGATTTTACTTCTTCCAAGACAGATGTGTTTGTTATCTTGCCACTTTGACTATTCTCCACCATAGTTCAAATGCATGGATTCTTCTTCAGTTTTCCTTATTCAGGGTCCAATTTTCACATGTATATGAGGCTATTGCAAAGACCATGGCTTGGGTCAGGCACACTTTAGTCCTCAAAGTAGCTTGTTGCTTTTGAACACTTTAAAGAGGTCTGTCTTGTGCAGCACATTTACCCAATGCAGTGCACCACGATCTTTTTACTGCTTCTTTCCTGACTTTTGACTGTGGATCCAAGTCAAATGAAATCCTTGAAAATGTCAATCTTTTCTCCGTTTATCAAGATGTTATGTACTGGTCCAGTTGTGAGGATCTCGGTTTTCTTTACATGGAGTTTTGATCCATATTAAAGGCTGCTACCCTTGATCTTCATCAGCAAGTACCTCAGCAAACAAGGCTGTGTCACTGCATATCACAGGTTAGTCAGCCTGCCTCCGATCCTGATGCACGTTCTTCTTCATTTAAGCCAGCTTCTCTGGTGATTTGTTCAGCATACAGAATGGATAAGTATGGTGAGGAGATCAACCCTGTTGCCCACCTTTCTTGGTTTTAAACCATGCAGTGTTCCCTTGTTCTAGTCACATCCTTGATCCATGTACAGGTTCCCCATGAGCACAATAAAGTGTTTTGGAATTCCCATTGTTGCCGTGAGAAAGCTCCGAGTTTCAAGGCTCCTTGGTTCTGCTCCCATTCACAAGAAGGATTTCAGACAAGGGGGGAAAAATCAGACAAGCGTTAGAGAAAAGGTTTGAACAGAAAGAGTGAGGTTATTGAAGGGGGATAATTTGGAAAAGAAGTCCAAATGGCCCTCATGTAGTCTAAAAGGCCAGCAAATCGTAGCCTTATATTGGCTAATGGTGGACTTCCCACCAAAGGTTGGCTTTCTGTCAGGACTTGTGCTCTTGGCTGGTTCTCTGTAGTGTCCCTCCTCCTTTCAGGTTAGTATATTTTGGCACTCTATCAACCCAGCACCCCAGACTGTGCGCTTGTCTCAGACCTAAAACTCAGGAGTTATTCAGTTTTTGTGGGGGTTGTGTGAACACCTAGTCTTTCTTCCCTGGGCCATTTCATTATCTCCAATATCTCTGGTCTTTTCCATTGATAAGGAAATGTAATCTATTCTGTTATTCCCCTTCCTTTGTGCTTGAGAAGTGTGTGTGTGAAGCTTGTTTCCACCTCTCCTTT